CTTGTGCTTGGGATGCCCTGACCCAGGTCCAGGACTTTGCTCTTGGCCTGATTGAGCTTCGTGCAGTTGGCCCAGGCCCACCTCTCCAGCCTGTCCAGGTCCCTCTGGATGGCATCCCTTCCCTCCAGCGTGTCAACCGCACCACACAGCTTGGTGTCATCAGCAAACTTGCTGAGGGTGCACTCAACACCATCATCCATGTCACTAACCAAGATGTTAAACAGTTCCAGCCCCAACACCGACCCCTGAGGAACGCCGCTCATTATGGGTCTCCACCCAGACATTTGACCACCACTCTCTGAGCGCCACCATCCAGCCAGTTCTTTATCCACCGAGCATCTACCCAAAAGACCTCCAAAAAGAAGAAAGGTCATCTTCCCCTTATGTAGATTGTTATCTAGGAATAATACTAGAACTAATGAAGCCCAGTTCCTACAAAACTGTGCCTTGGAGGTGATTGACTTCAGTTCTGGGAAAGTGTGATCTCTAACGCTTTTGCAGCAATTAAAGCAGGAGAAAGCTACTTTGTGAATTGTCTGGTCTCATAAAAGGATGAGTTCAGCTTTGCGTTGCTGAAGGCAGTTGTGGGCCCACAAATGATGTGTTGAAAAAAGTGGGGGAAGAAATGACCTAAAAGTAATTTGTGTACTGATTAATATAAACTACCAAATAATGCAAAATTAACATTAAGAGAATATGAGGGTTGGAAAGTACAGTTCAAAAAAACCAGTGAATGCTACATTTGATAGTTGCATGATCATAATTAAGTGCTTCTAAAAATTAGTTAAATTTATATTTCTCTTTTGGATGTGGATTTCTCTTTTCAGAGAGAGATTTATGTTTTTAAACAATTGTGTGTGGAACAGAAGTGGTTGTCTTTTGATTTCTTAAATACATTAGGTTTATTAACATTTGGGCTGCATGGAATTTTAACACTTCCAAATGAAACTTGAAACTAGAGGAGACTGGAAGGAAAGGCATGCCATTTCTTTTCTGTTAATCCAATACTTCATGTCCAGATTAAAGTGCCGAATTTGTTCTACACTGTGTAATATTAAGGCACATTTTTCAGCTTCTTCCTACTTAGAAACTTTCATAAGAGAAAGAACAGACAATTCTCCAGTGTGTTTTCCAGGATAATTTAATTTCAGTGAATATATATGTATGATTTATGCATCAGTTGTTTTGTCGATAGGTTTTTATTATTGGATAAAACAGAAGGGTAGCGATGTGTTGCTAGTAATCTAGAATTCAATTTAAATAAAGTCAGTGAACATTTTAGTATTTAAATACTGGTTTTTGGAATGTAAACTTTGACTTTGGAGGGTAAGAAAGTAACATATAAATAATCTATCTACAGGTGTATTCATACTACTAGTTATTCTCATCTTTGAACAGGTGCATTTCTCTAATTTTTCTTCTTAAACATATTTGAAATAATATTTCAACAAAGAGAAATAGAACAGGTTTGCTTCTTTATTTCATTCTTTCGATAGTGGTATGTAATTTTTTTTTTTATAGATTAGTTTTATTTCCTGTAATCTTGATGATACCCTGATGCACTTCCATCAAAGTGGCAATTTTCATTCTTCCTTTTCTCCCATGTCCCACATGCACATTTCCTTTGGGCAGTAACTGAACTGCTGTTGTTGGAACTGATGTAAGCTGGGGGCTGTCAGATGTGCTGTCTAGACAGTTGCTGAGCCTGGTTTGGTCCCCAGCCTCAGACCTGGACCACATATGGCTGCTTTTGGCCTGCGGGCCAAGACCCAGGCACTTGTCAGCATCAGATATTTTCCTAGGACTATAGGAAAGACCTTGGCTCTGAAGAGTAATAATAATTTTATAGTCAGTGATTTTTTAATGTAACATTAGGATTTATTTCCTTCATTAATTTGCATGTATTAATATTTAACTTGTCATGTTTTGCTGAGTCACTCAATAGCATGGACAACTTGTATAGTTCTTCATAGCCTGCCCTATTCTTCATTGTCCAGAACACTCCCTGTCAGCTGAAGGCTGCAGCACTCCATAACTTCTTTTCAGTGTCATTTATGAATTTGTTAAATAGTACAGATTCTGGTGGAGCTTCTCCAGTGACCTTCTTCCTTCCCAGGTGCTGGCTATTATCTCCTTTTATTCCACAATACTTGCGGAGTCCTTCAGAAAATGCCAGTATATTTGAGAGAGATTATGTTTCTTTGCAAAAGCAGTTTGACTCTTCCAAATGCTGTACATACTATTGTGACTTCTGACTCTAGTTTACGTTTTCTGTGAACTTACACATTATTGATGTTAGTTTTTTAAATACACGTGCCTATAGCACTGTTCCATCCAGTTTTTAATCATGTCATCAAATGGGTTCAATGAAAGACAAATTTGCCACCTCTTGCAGCAGCTATTCCACAATAGTTCCAATCCTAGATGGAATATATTTTTAAAATAGCATTGTCGCGACTGCTGTTTCTTCTTTTTACATTTTAGCTGTCCCTTTTCCACCAACGCATCGGTTGACATCTGAAGAAGTGTTTGACACAGATGGAAGACCAAGGGTTGACATTTTGAAGAACCATTTGATAAAAGAAGGTCGAGTGGATGAAGAAATTGCACTTAGAATCATCAATGAGGGTGCTGCAATATTAAGGAGGGAAAAAACTATGATAGAAGTCGAAGCTCCAATTACAGGTAATATCTCTAGGTAATTTCACTCATAATTAAATTTGAAAAAAATCCAGATTTTTTCAGTAGTAGAGTTTATCTTAAAAATTGCTAAAACAAAATTTCTGTATAATCTTACTGTATTATCCTTCACACCTGCATTTGCTTCACAGTACTCAAATGGTCTGAAAAAATATGCTGTACATTATTTTGCAAAATGAAGGTGTTAAACCTATTGGAAAAAAACCCAGTATGATTGGTATTAAAATGACAAAATGGAAAGTAGTTAAATGCTGTTAAGCACTGGAAAGTGTTGAAAGATTGTTTTAGTATCTTTAACTCACTGGGACCAGCTCCACTGTAATACAAAACTGACTTTTAGGGTTTGTTGGAGTATTTTCATTGTTAGACTAATTCTAGATCTGTTTGACCTGGAGAAGGGTGGAATTGCTGATCTTTACTGCTTTTATTTATAAACAATCCAGACTTATTAAGAACAGTTTACATTCTATATCTGTTACTTATGATAATGAAAGTAGATTTGATTTTTGTGTTCAAATCAGATTTTCTTTCATTTGAATATGTTTTCTTCTAAATGGACTTACATAAGATCAGTGTCTGAAAAGCTTCTTTTAGGGCATCAGCTTGCTTTAATTTGTTAGTATCGAGTGATATGAAATGAAAACGTTTGAACAGTACATCATTATTACTGACATTTTAAAAAATAAAGAATGATTGAAATAGTGGAAACCACTAACTGACTGTCTGAAGTCGGAGTCTTTCTGAAGCTGTAGATAAAGCTCCAAACTACAGTGTTGTCTGTATGCTTAGAATTTTTGTATTTTCATTTATTCAGGTAGTTACCTAGAGCTGCTGGTATACTGGCAGCTGAAAAAGAAGGAAAGTTCTTGCAGTGTTTGAGTGGAAATCTTAGGATAAGAGACATAAAAGAAGACATGCTCAATTTAGTCTAATATTTTGTAGATCACGTTGACAAATGATCTGCTCAAAGGGAATAAAAACCTTTAAAGTCTTGTGTGCCATATCCAATCTTTCTTTCCAAAATTAGAAATTTTTTTTCCCCAAAACCAATTTACTGATAAACTAGCGTTAGAAGATGCTGTTCATCAGTCAGCAAGTGACATTTTGCATCAACGGAAGGCATAGTCTCTCAAATTCCTGTTAATTGATATCAGCAATACCTCATGCAGAAGCGAGAAGGCAGCTCCTGGCTTCCATTGAGCTGGGAACTCCTGTGGGAATGAGGACTTAGGAGCAGCTGTCTCTTCTGTACATTTTTTAAGTTTTTTTTTTAATGGCCTGGCTTTTCTGTATGCTCTTCCAAGTCTTCCCATCTGCTGTCTTTGGCACTTCTGCCTTAGGTTGCTGACCACTGGTCTCGTCCTGTCTCATATTCTAAAAACACAAGAAAAATACACTGTTGAAATAGTGAACATGATTATTTGAAGGAGAAAAGTAACTGAGCAAAGAGAAGATAGGATGATATTAAAAGATATGTTAGCCTGAGTCAGAAGCAAAAGGACAGAGCAAATTGTTGCAAAGCAGCAGGCGTTTTCAAAACACACGTACCGAGGAGAATTTGCAAAGATACTGAAGGGGCTGGGGAGGAGTGTAAAGAGCTGCTGACAACTTTCAAGGCCTCAATGCTCAGTACATTAACTGTGTTTGAAAAATCTTCCACAATCTGCTAGACTCAAACAGGGCTGTCATCAGTGTTCTCACAGGTAGTGAGGACAGCATCTCAATGAAAAGCAAGGGAAGAAGCTTCAAAACCATCTGGTTATTCCTGCTTTATACCTGCCTTTCCTCTTAGTAGACCTACATTGTGGCTGTTAACTATAACTTAGTGACTTTTCTGTTAGATGTTTTTAAATTAATTTGAACAAAATTTTTGCTTGCAGTGTGTGGTGATATTCATGGCCAGTTCTTTGATCTAATGAAGCTGTTTGAAGTGGGAGGATCACCTGCTAACACAAGATACCTCTTCCTCGGTGACTATGTAGACAGAGGTTATTTTAGTATAGAGGTAACTGAATATATTAATCTGTTTTGTCCTGAATTTTTCTAAAAGCACGCTTTCGTGGAGGTTTTCAAATGAAATTTTAGGTCTGCTTTAACATGTGAATGTGCTCTGCCTTGCTGTGCTTTCTCCTCTTTGGCCTGTTGACAGGAGGATATTGACCAGCTCTTTGGACTGTCCTGTTGAAATCACCACACTTACTCATTTTTCCTCCTTTTGGTTTAGTTAGTTTTTAAAAAGTTGAATTCTGTAGCATTGTTATACATAATTCTGCTTCTCTGGTAAAATGCAGGAAGGTGTGTTTGTATGGTTTTGGAGAACAGGTGAGTCATGACTGGAAGGTCTTTTTATTTATTCTAGCTGTTTATAAAGTAGATCATTTAACTTACGTACTAAAATGGTTTTTAATAATTATTAATGTTTTTCTTTACTAAAATTCTGAGGGCGATTACAGATATTCCCTATGGATGACCTGTGTTTCTGCCATTAATTTTTCAGGTATTTTGAATTCAAATAATTTTTAATTTTCAGCATGTTTATTAAGTATGCTGCTTTCCAGAAATACTCATTTATTCATATCAGTTACTTTCAGAGCTATGAGTTTGAAGTTAATTATTCTTCTGGAGACAGCTAGGGAAGTGCCTCAGCTTGGGATCTTTTCATAGATCAAATCTAATAGCGTGGCATACTCTTTGTATGATACTTCATTTCTATATTAACATTATGCTGTTCTCATAACATGTGTGAGTATACACTGTGATGGGCATGCGCAGTGCCTTTTGGGGTTGTTAGGGATGGTAGGCAAAGAGGAGATGCAGCAAGAGTGATTGCCTCAAAGTCATTTATAAGGAAAAATTTCAATAGGCATTCTCTATTTAATAATTCGTTCATCATGGCCTGTTCTTGATGAGTACAAATAATGTAACTGTCCTTGAAAAGCACATTTACGTGGCAGCGATGTATGTTAATATATCAAAACTGGTGTGAAAGCTTTCTGACCATTAATTACACTTAGGAAAACTTTCAAACAATAGATGTTCTTGAATATATTCATAAGAATGGGCTCTTTTTTTTCCTCATATGATTTTAATTTTAATGTAATATTTGGCATGCTAAATATACTTGATGAATATGTGAAGATATGCTAAATATACTCTTGAAAACCACTTCAGAGTTCTTAAAAGGCTTGTCTTTCTTCATTGAGATAATCTGCTCTCTTCTGCTCTGAGTGGCTGTTGGAACATCAGTGAAGTACATGGCAGATTATCTGAATGAAGCTGAATTGCTGCAAGTGCATGGAGGTGGGGCTGTGCTTTGTGGTCCTGTTGAGAAAGAAGAGTAGTAGTACATGAAAATCAGCCACTTGTTCTCAACATTAACATTAAAAAAAAAATTCCTACTTAAGTTTTGCCTTAATTAACATTTAGGATGTTTAAGTTGACCTCCAGGAGTTTTAGTATGTGGTTACTTTAAAATCTTTCTTAGTGATTCAAAATGTTTGGTAAAATATTTGACTTCTCTCAAAAAAGTGAAGGTTAAGTGTTCTAAAAATGTACAAACAGTGATTGTATACAACAAACAGCTGGGAATCAAGATGGAGTCCTTCACAAAGCATGTGCAGACTCTTCTTTCCTGTACTGGAAGTAAGTGGATATAGGGAACTCTGACATTTGTCTGTCTGTAATTAATAATAAAAAATAAATACGCTAGTACAGGAAAGCTTAAAAAAAAAACCCAACCCAAACATTCTTTCTATACTTAATAGGTAGCATGCTTGAGAATGTGTAAATCTTAGCAGTTCAATCAAATGTGGTATCCTTTTACTGAAAGGAAAGTGTTTTGCTGCTTTTCTATTACCTGTCTTTAGGATTGCCAGCTTGCATAAATTTTTCATACAAACAGACTTAGCTAAAACCATTCACAACTGTAGAATTTGCCAAATTAGTTCATGTATTCGTTTGATGCTAAGCAGTTATTTTGTAAGAAACTGATTATGCTCTCTGCTGGGAAATAGTTTTGAAGAGTCTGGGGACTTTGCAACATGCCAGGATATTTTAGAGTTACAGAAACATTGGAAAGCAAGTGGTATCATTAGGAAAATGATTTTTCATATTTTTACTAAGAATTAAGAAAATGTCAGTAATTAGCTGACACAATAGAAGTCTTTGATGTATTTCTCCGTGTTTGCTGTGTTTTTTAAAAGTTCCTTTGTTTTCTTCCTTCCTTCATGTGCTTGCTGTTCTACACAGAATTACTTTGAAGAATGATAGCTTCAGGGTACTCATATTGATTAAGAACAATAAGAATAATAATAACAACTTGCAGGTGACTTCAGTGTAGTCCAAAACTTCTGGGTTTTTGAGAATCCTGTGCTCTGTTAAAAATACAAGAATCAGATTTGAAATTTAAGAAATACATTTTGGGCACTCAAGACTGCTGGGTGGTAACAGACTCTGAAGTGAAGAAATTCTGCGTGTTCTGGAGCTCTGTCCTCGACTCTGTTCACTGCTGATGTGGCAATAATGATACATGGAAACTTAGTATGACTCTTTGAATTTGCTGCTTGAACACTAAATATTAAACAACCAGCTTTTGGGAGGGGGGAAGTGGTTTACTCTGTCCATTCTTAGTTTAAAAAGTCTCCAAGTGATGTAGCTGACTTTAATGTAAATATTTTTGTGATTTTTTTTTAAAATCTCTTTATATCTGCTTAATAAATATCTGCTTTCCTTTTAATGCCAGTTTTTAGACTCATACTGTAAAATCAGATTTTAGGCACAAACACATACATTATTTGTCTCGATGAAAATGTTCTGCAGTATAATTCTGCTGATATTATTTTATTATTAACTGTCCAGTAAATATAAATATTTTTTCAGCATTGTGTGGCTGTTCTTAAGAAAAACAATAAGTAATTTGCATAACTCATGTTGAGAACTGGACTCGGGGAAGTAGTGCTGTGTTGTAAAGTTGCACATTAGGCTGTACGTGCTTTTGAAGCTGTTAACATTCTTACTCAATGTTTCTCATTAATAATTTTTAAAGTTCCTATAGTGTATTTTACTGGGTATCTTTGTTTTTCAACAGTGTGTGCTGTACTTATGGGTCCTGAAAATTCTCTACCCAAGCACATTATTTCTTTTGAGGGGCAACCATGAATGCAGACACCTAACAGAGTATTTTACCTTTAAGCAAGAATGTAAGTAGTGTCTAGTAATGTATAGTTAGCTTACTTCCAACCTGCTGATCTGTGGTCTGTCATTTTGCTTGAGAGATGTTTGTCTGTTAGTTTAATTAAGGTCATGCAAACATTTGGAGGCCCCACTGACTTCTGTAGAATTGCTTGCAGTTAAGTGTGCATTGGAGTACAGACTGCTATCTGTGAAGATAGATTATGGGATAAATTTTGATCTATCAATCCTGATTTTAAAATTCTGGACACAAGAGGGTTATTTTGCTGTCTTGGCTATAACTGGGAATGTGAAGTAGCTTGCTGAGCAGTATTGCAGAGCTAGTAAAAAACCCTACTGCCGAGTAATTTTTCCATTTGGGGAATTGATTTCAACTGTACTAGTAAGGTAACTCTTTTGGTGATGTAAGCTGTTCTACTGTTTGCAGGCTTGTGCAAGTATTGATCCAGTGATAAATGGATCATTTGCCCTGGTAAAACCCTCTTTGATGTAGGTAAAAGTGATCTAAATGTAATCTATAAGCAGTTCTTAGCTTTTTGCTGTAAATTGAGAAATCAGAAACGTCTCAGTGGTATATTACACTGAAGTATGCTGTATGATTGTAAAATGCAAAATTATTCTGTGATTAAAACAAACAAACAAACAAAACCAACCAAACAAAAAACCCCACAAACACGCACAACCAAAAAAACCCCAAAACCAAGAATAGTTTTTTACACACTTGAGATAGAAGAAGAAGAAATGAAAGAAGTTTAGTTCTGGAAGAGAATATGTCTTAGAAATGTGCTTGCTTTTGTGGTATTTGGAAATGCTTGTTTAAACCAAAACCTGTTCATTGCTTTGGGTTTTTTTAGGCATGCACTTTGAGATTGGCTCTTATGATTGTGATCCACTAGATTACTTCTTCCATCTAATATGGATTTCATAATCTTTTATATTTTCTTTCTTGCAGGTAAAATAAAGTACTCAGAAAGAGTCTATGATGCTTGTATGGAAGCTTTTGATTGTCTCCCTCTTGCTGCTCTTTTAAATCAACAGTTTCTTTGTGTTCATGGTGGACTTTCACCAGAAATTAATACACTAGATGACATTAGGAGAGTGAGTATTTTGTGTGCTTGAAAATAAGTGGAAATACAGATGCTGTATGCTCTGATGCTATACAAAGTCATGTTTGTGAAATTGTCAGTAAATTGTTTTCTGTTCTTGTCTCTTTGGGAAGTGTAAATCAGGAACTGAAATGTAGGCTAAGCAGTATCATAATTAAAAACTCTTGGATTATCTAGTAATTTTCAATTAGTAGACCTCATTGGGACAGCTGGGGCTGTTACAAAACATACACACAAAACCCCCTAAAAACTCCACATGGTTTCCAGAGACAGGTAATACACGGTAAAGAGATTCATATCCAGTCAAAATTGTGCTTTATATTTATTTCTGGGTAAAAGCTAGAATATTAGCATGGCTTTCAGGACAAAACTCTCACAAGTTAACATCACATTTCAGTTACTCTTGTATTTCTTTAAAAACTGGGGTTTTTTAACTTTCTTGATGATGTGGGTTTTGATTTTGAAAGCGTGTGAAATTGAAGTATTTAATAGAAATTCAGATTGCTATTTAAAATGGCAGATCTGGTAGGCATTTGAATAACAGCTGTGGAGTGCCTCACTGTCGTAAATGTGCCGAGTATATTGGAAAGAAGAATGAAAACAAGTTTTAAATAGTACACAATGGGAACACTAAATAGTCATGTGCAATTTAAAGGGAAGATTGTGATGACATGAGGTGTCTGTTTGTAGTAACTTGGTTTCAGCCTGCTGATGTCAGGTGAAGGTTGTATCAGATGAGAATTTTCAAACTCAATTGCTTTCTGTGTGTACTCCTTTTTCGCTTGTTTTAGTTAACTGAGCATGACTGCTTCATTTGGAAATCAAAACCATTCCTGATACGATTAGTAACAGCTTAAGTGTAGCTGATTTTACCTTTAAATATAAATGGATAGTTCTAAGAAAGCTTTGGTATTAAGGATGGGAGAATAAAAATGTTTGTCCACATACAGAGAAAAGTATGTGGGGACCTATTTCAAAAAAGATCTTGTGCTGGTTTTTCAGATCTAAGTATCAGAGAGAAGGAAAAAGTGTGTCCCTAATTTGGTTTTATAGTATATAAATATTGGTGGCCCATTTTGTTTTTTATTTTCATTTATTGTATTTCTCATTTTCTTGGAATTTTCTCCATTACTTGTGCTCCATTTTTCTTTTTTACCTCTCCCTCTCCTCAGATTTATAGGCTGCTGACCAGCTGAATCTCATTTCTGAATTCATCAGGGTTTTTTTGTACTGACTGGGCCATTTCAGAGGTTGGAATGTCAGCTTATTTCACTTACAGGTATTACACTGCTAAGCAGAATGATGTGAGAGGAGAAGAAAATGGTAGAAACAGAGAGGAGCCGTTACTGAGCTACTACAAGCTCAGTAGTGTAAGTGGGAAAATGTACTGAGGCACATTGCATTTTTGGAGCAAATACTAATGTGTGCAGAAATCTATGCATTGTGCAGAGAGGAGAAGTAGGAAAGCAAAGCAAGTAAATGGTGCCATTCTCCCAAGGCCATAACATTTCTCACATTACAGCTGAAATGAAACATGGTCAGAGCTTTTTGGACAGTATTGCAAAGGAAGCACAGTCTAGAAAAACATTTTGGAAAGCCACTGTTGTAATAAGATTATGATTCATTTTTCTTTTAGTCTCAGTCTTGCAGCTAATCATGTCTCAAAGTGTCAAGTCAGTTTAATTAAAAGGTAATCTTGTCATCTTGGCCTCTATTTTCATTTGTGCTTCTATAATACTCAAGGCTACGTTAGGATGAAATATAAGCTTTTATGTTTATACATATGTACAAATCTGCATTGTGTATTGCTTCTGATGAAAGCCACATTTATAACTATAGGGCAGTGTTATTAAAACTGGGTTTTGGGCCTTTTTTGTTTTTTTGAGAATCACATGGTAACTTGGAAAAGGCACTTTACATGGGTTGGCAGCAGCTTCAATAGCTGCATTAGACCTTGGCATGCACTGATGATGTAAATGTATTTAAATTAAATTAAATGGGTGACGTGAAATGCTCTTTCTAACAACAGCATATACTTGTAGAAGTGTGGTGTGTGAAATTATTTCTGTAAACAGTTGAGACAACTGTATAATATTGCAAGCCTTCTGGTTTGTTAGCAGAAGTTCTTACTAAGAAGAGGTCGTTTCTGCAAACGTGTAGGCATCTAGTGTAAGAAGGGAAATCACAGGTCTATAAACAGTATAGCCATCATCTAAGAAAAAAGAAAAATTCTGTGCAGGTGCAATTTCTTCTGTATGAAGACTTCTGTCAGTATTATTGACATTCAGGAAGGTGATTAAACTACACAAATTAAATAGTTGGTTTTGCTGGCATAAACTAATTTCCAGTAGAGGACAGCTATGACAGTAAAGCCTAACCAGAAATATTGCTGCAAGTGCTTCTTATTTCTGGGAAAAGGGAAGTTTGTGAAAATCTCACTAGTCCAATTTTTATTCTCTGAGCTTCATTTACACAAATATTCTGATTGTGTTGGTAAAAGTGGCTGTTTCAGACTCATGTCCATCTACTTAGAGATGCTGTTTATTGCATTTCAGTTACACTGCCAAGACTTTTGCTGAAACAAAAGTCCAGAAATTGTGATTTATAAAGAGGGAAATGTCCAAATAAGATTACAGGGATGTGTAATTTAAAGAGGACAGACAGAATTTTCTTCCTCATTTACAACAGATGGTCATTCTTTTGTTTAGTTCTTGGTGATACTGAGGCTTGATCAGCAAAGTGCCTTCAAATCTATGGGGGCACTACTGGGAGGAATACTTTGTTTCCTATCTGTGGTCTGCTGAAATTCCCTTTTCTTTAGTAGTATGTAAGGTGACTGATACTCTTCACTGGCCTTCACATTGTTTTTAGGGATTTACTGTGTGGTAATTCTCAGGAAAATTAGGACAGATTAATTAAAACTTGTGTCTGTGTATTCAAGTATGTGAAACTTTGTGAGGGTCTTTTGCTACAAATGTAAAGTAGTTTTAATTTGCTGTATCTTAATCCACCTACAAGGTTTTGCTTCTCCTGAATTTGAACAGCCACGTGGAGTGTTAATGCACTTCAGTTTAGTAGCTCTGACTGCACAGGACCTAGAAATTAATGCTGATTTAAATATCTTTTATGGTATGTATTGAAAAATATACCGCCGATTTTTTTAGGTACTGTTTTAGCATCAGGTGTAGTGATTCTCATTCTTGAATAAACTCCTCTTTGCTGGTTACCTTATTCACGTTTAGAAATATGTGAAGCTAATTTGTATTGAGATTCTGTTTTGCTGTAGCCACAACATATTCAGAAATAGTTCATCAGTAACAAGTGTTTTGAATTGACTCTTGTCCTTTGTTAACTCTTGCTGTCCCCATGTAGAGAAACCTGTAAGTTAATTATTCTGATTTGATATGTGCAGTCTGGGTTGAGTAGCTTACAGTGACATTTCCTTAAATTTTGAGATGTCTTGAGTACCATGCCAGTTGGTAGGCTGTCTAGTGAAGGAAACACTGGTTTGGTGTGTATGTAAGTATATTTATTTTTTCACAAACAGACCTCCTTGCTTCAAGAAATGGCTATGTTATCGTTGCAGTGTTAGGAGAAAATCATTTGGGAGAGAGGTGTCTTGCTTGCAGCAACCAAAAATTTTTATTTATTACGTTTCTATCCCTTTGGCCAAAGTCATAAGGAAAGTTCTTGAATAATAACTCAAGAACATTTCTTAGAAATGCTTTCTGGACTTTCAGCCTTCTGTGTTGCAGGAAACGTCAGTCGGCAAACAGTTGAATCTTCCTTGTGTGAATGCTTCTGTTAGCTTCTGGACCCAAATTTACTGCTGGAGGTTTAGAAACTTGATGGTTTAATCTACAGAAATTCAGGTACTTGCAGAAGTTGATGGACTGACTTCTTCAATCTGGAAGAAATATTCCATATCGGGTTTATCATCCAGTGTGGGAAATGTTAAACCACTGGATTTTTAATATTGATTAAATTCCAACAACAACTTCAGTTAATACCTGCCTTGCCATTATCTGGCAGGAATTTGTAAAGATCTGGACCTCTCCACTTATGTTACAGGTGGCAGCCTCGGGAGCTCTGATTTTCCAGGGCATGAGTGAGCTTGGCACTACTGCTGGTTCCATATTTGAATGGATTCCTATGGACCGTTAGACTCAAATTCACCAGGTGCTCACCAAACCTCCCTTCGAACCTGTCATGAAGAGTTAAGTGTTCTCTAGTACCATCAAACTCATCATCTTTGGTATGGGAGGTAAAGTGAGATAAATGCACTGTCCATCAAAGAACTGTTCCTACATTTCTTGGATAAAATCATCTTGTGAACAAACTCCAGCTACATAGAGATCAAATAAACTTTACATTGAAACTGGGATATCTAATTTCATTTCTGGGACATCAGAGATTAATTGACCGTTACTTACTTAAGCAGGGTGTTCTCCTTTTACCTTAACAACTGCGCTGTCCTTCTTGCCTCTGCCCCTTTTCACCGTGGTTACTAGGAAAGTTGCAGGCTGCTGAAGCAGGTTGTTTCCAAGTGGAAATCTGTAAAGAAGCAGCTAGAGAAGAGAAAACAAAGACAGACGTCTCCCAAAATGCTTATGGCCCATTACACCAGGGCTAGAGCTGAGAAATAAAACCTGTGTGAAAGAAGTCTAAGATCGCTAAGCAGTCACGTCTTCATTACATTGTTAAACAATCCATTATGGAGAAGGGTGGTTCAGGGCTTTTTTTGGTTGGGTGGGGTTTTTTTTTCTTTTATTATATGGTATATTTAGTCTCTTTTAGTCTGTGCTAATTAATCATGCTTTTCTTTTATCATTCCTGTTTTCTGTACTGTTTCTCTTTGCTAATTCCTGGTAGTGTCTCCAGATTGGTAGATATGGCATGTGCATGAAAAAGGACCATTTTGTTCCTTGTCTGTAACTTGACCTTGTATTACACATATCCATCAGTCTGGAATTGCTCTCTCTTCTTTTTACAACTAATAAATCTTATTGCTCTTAACAGGTTTGGTTCTTTTGGCATGCCCTCTGCCTTATTTCATGAGGAGGAGAGGAAAAAAATATACAGAAACTACTTCTCTTTGATATGGTTGGGATTTATTCTAAAAACGCTTGGTATTGATGGATATGTAGTTTAACAAACGTGTAAAATTTACCGATTTAATATTCAAAGAGTCTTTGTGCTGTTGCCTTTTCTTGAACAGTTAGATAGATTCAAAGAGCCTCCAGCATTTGGACCAATGTGTGACTTATTGTGGTCAGACCCTTCAGAAGATTTTGGAAATGAAAATTCCCAAGAGCATTTTAGTCACAATACAGTCAGAGGATGCTCGTACTTTTATAGGTGAGTGTGCTGTGAACTTTTTCACGTGTAAATGCTGACTCTTGCTGCCTGTTTTAAGATAATTTCTTTTACTCATAGTTGTTTTCATTTCACAGCTATCCAGCAGTTTGTGAATTTTTGCAAAATAATAATTTGTTGTCAATCATTAGAGCGCATGAAGCACAAGATGCAGGGTGAGTACTTTGTGTCCTTCAAGAAATTATTCACGGTGTAAAATAAAAATTAATTGCTTATTGCTGTAAGATGTAAAATAATCTGTTTGGTTTTGCAGTTATAGAATGTACAGGAAAAGTCAAACCACAGGGTTCCCATCATTAATAACAATTTTTTCAGCACCTAATTACCTGGATGTCTACAATAACAAAGGTAAGAACTTGTTACTAATATGAAATAAAAATGTCTTACTAGATAAGTAATCTAATATCAACAGGTTTTTGCCGGGTAAGAAATTAAAGGACAAAAAAACCCTATTAATAGAAGTTTTATTATGAAGAAAGGCACATGACATAAATGACAACCTCCTATAAGAGTACCTTGAAGCACAAGTGTGGACAAACGTTGCCCTTCTAAAAGTTGTTGCTGTTTAGTGCTTATGAATGTATCGCCTGGTGTTTTCCAGTCGGGCAAGGCTTTCTTGTGCTGTGAGTTTTCACTCCTCTGGTTGTCTGGAGTTTGTGAACTTATGAAGGAAGGGAGGAAGCATTGATCAGCAGCCTGTGCATAAGGTAGTTTGTGTCATGGCACCTGAGAGTCAAATTATGTGTGGCTGCACTCCAAGAATGTGAGTTGCAGTAGGTACCTTCATGGAGAAAACCAGAACCCACCGTGCTTATAAATAGGTGGTCACTGAGGAGCAAATAAGACATGGAAAGTGTGTGTTTTGTGGTGGTACAGGCCGCATTGGCCATGTGTGGGGAATCAAGAAAGAGCATGTACGGATCACCATTGGAAATCTTATTAGGGAGGTGTGAAACAGAAGGAATTATTTTTTTTTTGTCCATCCTCTGCTTAAGATGAAGTGGCACAGGAGAAGCATGCTTAATAGCGTGGAAAAAGATTCACAAGACAGAATGACAGAGAAAAGCTTAGATGAGAACAAAGTTCAGGAACAAATTATTAAAAATACAGCCTGCTGATACTCAATATGACATTAAAGGATGGCATTTCAAGTGTGTGGTGAATGAAAGATCTCCAAATGTTCAAATAGTGTTCCTTTGAAACCAAGACCTCTCTTCTGTGTAATACAATGCATTTTTTTCCAACCACCTCCAAAGAACCGTTTATGTAGGGTGATTAACTGTATGAAGGAAAAGATGAGCTGTTGTTACTTGCACTGATTGTAAATTAAAGGAGAAATAAAAATAGCTTCAACTGGCTTTTTACATTTTTTTTCACCATCTCTGTGGATATTGCTTTTTAAGAATTATTTTTCACATCAGCTATTCCCAGTGTAATGCAAGCCTAAGTATAGAAAAATGCAATCAATGCTTATTTAGCTTTAGAATGCTTCTGTTCCTCTGTGCTTCCCCTTCTCCCTCTTCTGGATTTCTATTGTTTTACTCCAGGATTACAATGTGGGAAGACACGTGAATAAAACTTGATTCTGGATATAGCCTTGTCCTTTTCAGGACCTTTTAAAATCTTTGTTCATTATAATAGAGATCTATAGTAGACCTAGAGACCTATAATAGGGTAGTACAGAACTATATTGACATGTAACAATTCCTTAAATTGCAACATACGCAATGAAAATCCAAAGTTCTCCATTAGAAATCTGTCTGGTAAATACTGTGAAGAAGAATGGAGTATCGGGGATTATTTTGTCCAAAGTGTAATATACACCAAAGTGTAAAAAAACCAAACCTGTGACTTTACGTTTGTGATGCTCACAAGTTTTAAACAGCGTTTTCAAAATTCTGAATTTTATTTTAGCTGCTGTATTAAAATATGAAAACAATGTGATGAATATTCGTCAGTTCAATTGTTCTCCTCATCCTTACTGGCTACCAAACTTTATGGATGTTTTCACATGGTCTTTGCCATTTGTTGGAGAAAAAGGTAGGCAAAACTTACACATCAATGAATTTCTTTCCTGTTTTTCCCAGATTGATGTTAGAAAGATTTAAAAAAACCCACCTTATTTACCAATGAGAGATTAATTGCATATTTTTTGTGAAAATGGTTATCTGTATTTGTCTTTATCAGGTAGCATATTTGGTAAAGTTGTTTAACTGATTTGCAGGGGTGGCGTTTGGCATGTAAAAATGCCATTTCTGAGAAAGGATAGACTGAAATACAACTTGTTCTACAGGTTTTGGTTGATTTCTTTGCCTGTTTCAGTCAAGATAGTTAAAACTGCGTCTAAGCAGAGGTTTTAACAGAAAATATAATTTTCATTGAGGATCTATACCTGCATCGTTAAGCAGTACCTCTGAACTGAATTTGAAATTAATATGAAAATTGCTTATATTCTACAAAATGCTGGGTTATCTACATTATTAATCCTGTATATTTATATGTGTAAACTACCTTGAGACGTTCACGTGATGTTTTAACTTTTCTGTATAGATATAACACATTGACCTTCATTAAAGTTAACTTCTTCAGTTTAATTTTTCTTGGGAAAAAAAAAAAAAAGATAATTCAGCACAGATTGGGGTCGTCCCTGTCTCCCCCCCCCCGAGTTGATAACTCTGAATCTAGGACACTGGGGCTCCACATAGTGTACAGTTAAAAAACAATGAGGTTAGAACTGTTTGGGTCTGCTGAAAATCTTTCCATTTTATAAAAGAAATCTGGAAAGCTCTTTAAAGTTCTTTGAAAAGCATTATTGAGATGATATATTTATATAAGCCTCGCTTTCTAGATTTGTTTATATTTTCTTTAACGAGCAGTTAAAACCAAGTAAGTTGGACACTTTTTAGTGTGGTCAACCCACTCAGCTATTTTGTTGCTTTTAAACAGAGGGATCTGGCATTTGAGAGGAGATTTTTGTTTATATCTCGTACGTGACGATGCAATAGATAACCTTCGCTGTTGAGAATGTTAACACTGTTGTATTTTGCTTTTGCTATGATGCTGGTAATGAGACAGCAAGCACTGTTAAATAAATTGCTCATTGGCCCGCTGTATGCTTAAGGCTGCTTTAATCATGGCTGTTGTAGTTTGTCTTGCCTTTGGACAAATACATGCTTCCATTTTTGATGAAGGATAAATTGTCAATATTGTCTGGTCTGCATTGAACAGATCAAAATGAGAATAATTTGGGCTTTTTTTCATGGAAGTAGAGAGTAACTCTTTCTCAAGAATGGAGAAGAATAGCACAGCAGGTAACGCAGGGGTTGTATGGGTTAGTCATGAATATATGTAGACAGCAGTTTGCAGGGTTTTTAACCATCTGACTGAACTTCTGGAATAGTTTTGGTTTTAAGGAAGAGTCTGATATATGTGGGCAAGATTGAGTGGCAGAATAGGGAGACTCTTGGAAAAGAAAATACAAACTTTTTGAGACAAGTTTATGTATCCACTATGCTGGTATTTTTAAGGGTAGTTTGCAAAGAGATGTAATATGCATCACATTTGTACCATAGTATTTTTCTGCTTCAGTGCTTCTGCTACATGCCTGCAGGTGCCAGGAGTGCAATAGCTTTCTCATTTTAAACCTAGATTTGAGCAGTCAAAATGTTTTCATATTTAAGTAAATTTTTGAATGAAGTCTAGTTCAAATACTTATCCTAATGTAAAAATACCCATATACAAGAAGAGAATTCTTATCTGAAAGAACTTCTTGTAAGATAGGAGAGAAAGCTGTGCTGTGTTCTTTGATTGTTAGGTGGTATAATTTTTAGCTGCTTATTTTTCTGGGCTTTTTAAATTCTGTGACATCGCACATCAAGAAAACCACATAGTTTTGAAACGAGATTACTGAGCAATGGCCATGATCCAGGAAGCTCATTCACTGTAGTTGCTGGTGACTGGTTATATCTTGTCTGCATGGAAATGTATAAATTCTATGGGGGACAAATTCAGATTTATTTTTTCCTATACAGTAACAGAAATGTTGGTGAACGTTTTGAGCATTTGCTCTGATGATGAACTGATGACAGAGGGAGAAGATCAATTTGACGGTAGGGGTTACCTTAAGATACATTAATATTTTTAAGAGTAATAACTTGTGAAACAGTAATTAACTTAGACGGGTGTAATACTACCTGGAATTTGAAGAAAATCGCCTTTGAGTTTTTGTTTAGATAATGACACTTTGGGAGGGGTGAGAAGGGAACTATGGTTTTGGTTTTATTATGAAGCAGTAATAGTATCCTTTGCAAATATTCATATCTGATTTCTATTTAAAACTGCAACTTTTTGCAGAAAACTCTCAGAATTTCTTGGCATTTTAAGTTTGAAACATACTAAACATAATTTACTTTAAATATTAGCAAAAGTAAAAGTTCCTAAATTTCTTAATGATTGCTCTTCAATAAAGAGTTGATATAAGTGAAAGTCAGATATAATATTTCCTAAGGCAAAGTACTATACAGAAAGTATGAAATACAAGTTTAAGTCTTGGTGTTTGAGTTTAAAGCATAAAAGTTAGGATAACTTTTATATGTACGTTGTATAATGTGTATTTATGTAATGAATTACATCTTTTTGTCTTGTCAACTGAGATGCAGTAGATTAAGGAGGTGTTTGTAGCATGATGATTAAGAAGTGACATTAACATGAAGACCTAGCATGTCACACCTTGGTTTGTTGGTTGTTTACAGTAGCATTTAATGTCACACCTAAAAGTTTCTCAGACTTGCTTCATTTTATCCAGTAACAGAACTGATTTGGTGGATTGTTTGATGATGGGGGAGGAGGAGGGAAATTTTAGCAGCATTTGAGGAGTGCTAAAGGTCATTTATAAAGATACTAGAGACATGACCCTAGTCTTAATGTTTGCTCACTCCAGTGTTCAAAGTCAGTGGCAGAACAGTGTTGTGCTAGGCAGCTGTGTGTTTTAGATGGGGATGCGTTGGTTATGAGCCACTTGAACTTTGCTGCCAAGTTAGCTTGTTGCCAGAAATATGAACACTTAGTCTCAGATGTGATCCTGCAAACAGTTAACATATGTTTTCCATTCATGTAATTCTACTAAACTGAGCATAAAGCAATTACACCGAGTGTTTGCAGGGTAGGGCGTGGTGGTATTCCCAGACGTTAGGATTTAGGTTGTCCAGCATAAGTGCAGTCATCAGTTGATTGCTTATGCCCTGTCTTTAGTACAATAGTTGCAGTTTCCTAATTTGAATTATTTTATTCTTCTGTCTCCTTTAACAATTTCTTTGCTTGATGCGTCTCTTAATGCCTCCTAGGTACTGTCTACGCTTTATCTTTCTATGTGAATGGATTTTTTTTTTTAACTGTTGACTTTCAAGCTTTCACTTGTTTATCATCAACTTTTAAAATACACTCAACAATTCCACTTCTTGTTCGATGAATGCATTTTTAAATGTTGCAGTTTTCCATTTTATTTTTTCACATTTCTTCTCCATTCCTTCTTTATTACCACTGCCAAGTTAAAGATTTTATTTGTCTCACTCACCTTTTTCTCCATCGTTCACTTCCTTTTTTTCTGGACTCTCCATCTGAAGAGCGACTCATATATGGCAATAAAAAAGGTACAGACCAGACAGGGTAGGAATGTTTTGAAATATGACTTCATGGAACCTGGCACTATACGTACTAATGCAGAAGTTACCTTTCTGCTGAGAGACATATGTAGCATTTGATTATCACCCATTTTGATGGGATGTTTATAAAGGCTTGTGTATTTTGTTATCAGAAGTCATATTCCAAGACATCTGTCTTTCTGTGCATGATTTTTTTTTTCCTCCTTTCTTCCATTCCTTTTTTGTAGAATTTCATTCTTTTCCTATTGCTAAAATTTTATCTTTGGTCCTGCATGTGTAGGGAGCGTTCAGTTGTCTGTCTTGCTCTTTAATAATTTTATTGTGAGCCTTTTTTGAGATTGTGCATGGAATGTGTTTATACAGTGTTCCAAAACCTGGTTTGTATAGTACTTTTAGTTTCCTTCAACTGAGATGTCAAAAAGGTACTTTTTGATTGTATGTACAATTTTGAAGATGGCTAGATACAGCAGCGTACCAATTCACAGCCTATTGGCTGTTTTTCAGAAATTCCAGAGTAGATAATTCTGTGCAGAAAAATTCTTCTGACCATTACTTGCCTAATAATCAATTTGCTCTCAGTATAAATTTGTCACTTTCAGAGAATGTTTCTAATACTGGGGAATGCATTAGATTATAGACATGTTTCCAAAGGTTATGTGGCTTCTTTGGAACATAATGGGTATGAGCGTTTCAGAATTCGTTTCTTGTGCAGGCATTGGGAGTGGAGATGCGAGAGTTCTTTGTCACATCTCCTATAAATTAGGGTGTAATCAAGATCCTCTTCTGGATGCCACCTTACTGTCTCTTCTCTCAACTAACCAGGATTCAGTGCTGCAGCCTCGAGTAACGTGTTTGGCCTTTTGGCTTGGCTGCAATGCTTGTGGAGGGCTGAGGCAGTGAAAGACAGTGGTTAAAAAAACCCAACAAACCCATCCAAGCAAACCATCAAAAAGCCTAACGAACACCAAAACTACCCCAAAACCAGCCTTTCTCATTTTAAGGCGCAGGGACCTACCCAGCACTACCCAAAACATTTTCAGCCTCCACGTTAGAGCTCTGCAGCAGTGTAGCTCCCAAACAGGTGTGGGTAGG